TACCTTCTTCTTTAAGAGGCCCCTCTGTCCTGCACTCGTTACCTGTGTCAATGGCACCTGTTTGAACTTGTTATCAGTATAAAAGACACCTGTCCACAACCTCAAACAGTCACACTCCAAACTCCACTATGGTGAAGACCAAAGAGCTGTTGAAGGACACCAGAAACAAAATTGTAGACCTGCACCAGGCTAGGAAGACTGAATCTGCAATAGGCAAGCAGCTTGGTGTGAACAAATCAACTGTGGGAGCAATAATTAGAAAATGGAAGACATACAAGACCACTGATAATCTCCCTCGATCTGGGGCTCCACGCAAGATCTCACCCCGTGGGGTCAAAATGATCACAAGAACGGTGAGCAAAAATCCCAGGACCACACGGGGGGACCTAGTGAATGACCTGCAGAGAGCTGGGACCAACGTAACAAAGGCTACCATCAGTAACACACTACGCCGCCAGGGACTCAGATCCTGCAGTGCCAGACGTGTCCCCCTGCATAAGCCAGTACATGTCTGGGCCCGTCTGAAGTTTGCTAGAGAGCATTTGGATGATCCAGAAGAGGATTGGGAGAATGTCATATGGTCAGATGAAACCAAAATAGAACTGTTTGGTAGAAACACAACTCGTCGTCTTTGGAGGAGAGAGAATGCTGAGTTGCATCCAAAGAACACCATACCTACTGTGAAGCATGGGGGTGGCAACATCATGCTTTGGGGCTGTTTCTCCGCAAAGGGACCAGGACGACTGATCCATGTACAGGACAGAATGAATGGGGCCATGTATTGTGAGATTTTGAGTGCAAACCTCCTTCCATCAGCAAGGGCATTGAAGATGAAACGTGGCTGGGTCTTCCAACATGACAATGATCCCAAACATACCGCCCGGGCAACAAAGGAGTGGCTTCGTAAGAAGCATTTCAAGGTCCTGGAGTGGCCTAACCAGTCTCCAGATCTCAACCCCATAGAAAACCTTTGGAGGGAGTTGAAAGTCCGTGTTGCCCAGCGACAGCCCCAATACATCACTGCTCTAGAGGAGATCTGCATGGAGGAATGGGCCAACATACCAGCAACAGTATGTGCCAACCTTGTGAAGACTTACAGGAAACGTTTGACCTCTGTCATTGCCAACAAAGGATATATAACAAAGTATTGAGATGAACTTTTGATATTGACCAAATACTTATTTTCCACCATAGTTTGCAAATAAATTCTTTCCAAATCAGCCAATGTGATTGTCTGGATTTTTTTTCTCATTTAGTCTCTCATAGTTGAGGTCTACCTATGATGCCAATTACAGGCCTCTCATCTTTTTAAATGGGAGAACTTGCACAATTGGTGGCTGACTAAATACTTTTTTGCCCCACTGTATGTGTATGTTGTACCCGTAGTACAACCCAGAAACAATAGTGCGCATTTTGTTTTTGTCTTTTTTTGTTTTTTTTCCTTTACCTAAAACACACTGACATTGACACCAATATTTTTTTAATCCTGACCTTTGCCCCTGACCTTGACCCAAACACTATCCCTGGCAGTGAACTAGATCAAACCTTGATCTAGGTATTTTTTATTTAATTTTTAATTTTTTTTTAGATACATTTTTTTTCTCTCTATGCTAGGAGTTAGATACATTGTATCTCTCTCGTCCATTAATAGAGAGAAAAAACAAGGGGGCCGGGTTGCACAGTGACTGATGACTGTGATAGCCAATCAGAGGCTATCACAGCGATCATGTGACCCAGAATCCTGAGTCCCGGGTCCCGATCGTTAGAATGGGACCCGAGGCTCTCAGTGACACTGCGGTCTTTGTTCTGAGAGCGCGCAGTGCGGCACGCTCCCAGCACAAAGACAGGTACGCAAATATGCAGCCCCACGGAAAAAAGCCCAGTTCCGTGAGGCCGCATATTTTTTTCACGTCTGCATCAAGGGGTTAACCACCAAGGGAGTACCAGGTATCTGGGGGCCTTAATGGAAATTAGGCTAACCATCTCACAGGTAGGGACTAACACTGCCCAGCCCTCTCTGCTGTTCAGATCCCAGGAATGGACAATTGGAAGGCAGATTAACTCAGCCGTCACTGCCTGGACCAACAGGAATGGGCTCTTCATCCCAAACATTTTCACTAACCTGTGTCACAAATTGGGGACTGCAGATGTGGACATTCTGGCTTCCAAGTTCAGAAACAAGTTACCCCTGTTTGTACCCAGGACCAAGGATACTACCCCTAACATTGGATGTTGTGATAATTTTCTGAACCCCTTTGCAGTTAATACATGCCTTTTTGCCTGTGGAAATTCTTCCTTGTCTGGTGCAGTGAGAATGAAAGGATTCTTCCATTGCTCTATTTTGCAAAGCAAACTGGTACACAGTCATACTCAAACTTCTGAAAGAAGATTCCTGGCCCTTTCCAAACAAACCAGACCTTCTGTCTCAGGGGTCCCCTGTTTCTTCCTGCTTCTCAGTCACTGGCTTTAATGTCATGGCTGTTGAAACCCAGATATTGAGGGACAGGGGCATCTCTCTGATTTTGTCATTCCCACATTTCTAAAAGCCAGAAAAGCCTCTTCCAGAAATCGAAACTATTGTACCAGGAAATGTTTTTGCCTGGTGTAAAAATAAACACTTAAATCACAGATAATTATGGCCTTCCTACAGTTGGGACCAGAGCAGAATTTGGCATTAATTACTCTTAAGGGACAGGTTTACATTAATTTTGTTTGAAAGATCCCTGGCTTCATTTTACCAGGTAGTAACTATTCAAGGTGTTTCAGGATCCTGTGCTTCCTTGGAATCCTAGTTTGGGTCTCTGTGCCCTGCAGAAACCAATATTTTAACCTTAGTGGCTATCATGTCTGTCAGACATGTCTCTGAACTAGTGTCTTTCTCTTGTAAGGAGTCATTTCTGATCCTTCACAAAGAAAAATTAGTCTTGTGCCCAAGACTTACCTTTTTGCCAAAGGTGGTGTCTAACTTTATCCGCTTAAGGCCCGTCCACAGTACATTTACTTCTGCAGGGCAGGCCCTGTGCACAAAAATCACGTGTATATAAACGTGATTCTGCATTTCCAGGTAGGGGGCGTGCGCCCGCCCTACCCGCGTCACCGATCGCGGACCCGGGTGTTAATCACCGGGTCCCGGCCGGTGATTACCCGCCGGGTCCTGGGTTGTTTACCAACAGCCCTCCTCCCTGTCAGTTTGGGCACACTGCTCAGGATGGCTGAGCACAGCCATCCCGATCAGTGTGCTTTATAGTGATCCCTAGTAAAACATTCTCATCACACAGTTAAACCTTTGATTGCCCCCAAATGTTAACCCCTTCCTGCCAAGTGCCATTAGTACAGTGTCAATGCTTTTTTATTTTTTTTAGCACTGATCACTGTATTGTTGTCACTGGGGATGTCAGTGACACAAGTCAGTTCCCCCCAGTGTCAGAATGCCTGCCGCCGTCCTGCCACAAGTCGCTGATTTGCCGCTATAAGTTGCTGATCGCCACCGTTATTAGTATTAAAAAAATAAAGATTCCCTTATTTATACTGCTATTTGTAAACGCTATAACTTTCACATAAACCAATTAATTTACACGTATTGGGATTTTTTTTTTTTTAGCAAAGGCATGTCACAGAATACATTTTGGCCTAAATTTATGACAAAATTTGATTTTTAAATTTCAATACTGGATATGTTTAATAGCAAAAAGTCCAAAATATAGTTTTTTTTTCTCAAAATTGTTGGTCTTTTTTTTTTTCATAGCGCCAAAAATAAAAAGCACACAGGTGATCAAATACCACCGAAAGAAAGCTCTATTTGTGTGAAGAAAAGGACATACATTTTGCTTGGGTACTCTTTGCATGACCGAGCAATTATCGGTTAAATTAGTGCAGCGCCGAATAGCAAAAAGAGGCCTCGTCATTAAGGGGGGTAAATCCTCAGGATGGTAAGTGGTTAAAGAAGAAATAGTCCTTCCCTCTTTGTGCCTTGTTCTTGGGCACCCCAAAGAGTGAGCTCTGACAGAATCCAGACAATGAACTACGATAGAAGCCTATTTAAAAGCCACAGCTTCTTTAAGATGGATTCCTCTTTGTCTTGTTGTCAGGGCCTTGTCAAGGACATCTTGCCTCAAAGTCCACTATCGCCAGGTGCATAAGACGACTCCTCTCAATAGATTACACACTAAAAAATAAGACATCTTAAGCACATGCTCACTCCTCCAGATTGGTGGGTGTTTTGTGGGCATTCTGACATCAAGCCTCTGTTGCCCAGCTTTGCAAAGGTCTCTACCTTGTCTTCAGTTCATGCCTTCTTCAAGTTATACCAGGTGGATATTCAAGCTTCTGAAAATGCACTTTTTGACTGCAAGGTTCTTGTAGCAGCACTCAGAGATGGGTCTGTTGACATTTGTTCTTGTTGGGCTTGTTAGCACAGTTCTGTTTGCCTTGTTACTCACCCTTCTTAATCATTTTCTTGGGGATGTTCCAGGATCTATGAATATCCAGCCTGTTTCCAGTTCTCTTCGATATAAAATAAGAGGAAATTTGATTTAGCTGTAAATCCCATATTGTGGTGTGAGGTACAGGACATAAAACACTCTCCCCTCTGGTTTTTGTATTACTCTGCATTGTTTGCTAAAAAACTAAGCTGTCACGGTGTGGGGTAGGGTTTATAGAGGTACATGGGGGGGGGCCACATGTCCAGCAAAGCTCTACCAGTGTCTAGTCCGCTAAAGGTACCAGCCCATTACCCAGGGTTGATGAATAGCCAGCCTGTGTCCCATACTGTATTCCAAGATATGAAATTTTACATCTTATTTTTTTTACTCTGTTCCTTGTTGCAACAGTTATGGCATTTTTCTTTGTTTCTGAGTACTATACATCTGGATGATTTAATGAATAAAATGTATTTTCAGTAACTCTGTTACAGATTGTGAGCAAAATAGACAAGGACTTTCTATTTACCAATTAAATATGCACAATATTAATATTCTAAATTTTCTTTGTAGGTGACCATCATGAATTACGAAAATCCACCACCATATTCAGGCGTAAACCCTACAGCTCCTTACCCTCCATATGGACAACCGCAAGGTGGCCCAGGTCCTACTCAGTATCCTGGTTACCCTCCAGGCCCTGTAGGCTATCAACCAGGGCAACCAGGCTATCAACCAGGGCAACCAGGCTATCAGCCAGGGCAACCAGGTTTTCAGCCAGGGCAACCAGGCTATCAGGGTTACCCACAGTATGGCTGGCAAGGTGGCCAACCCCCTGCTCCAGTTTACATGGATGCTCCTAAAAATACAGGTATGAATGAAATGTAAGAGGTTTATGTTGGCCATACATGTGGTATTTTTAACTATTCAGTCTCAATTTGTTTTTTGTTTTGTTTTTTTCATCAGTATAAAAAAAAAACAGAATAGCTGCTTTAAAATTGCTATATGTATGGTTAGTATTTAAACTGTAATCTTTGCCTGGTAAGAAATCATAATTGCTAAATGCACATAAGAACTAGAGTACCTCACATCTCTGCCTACACTCATGATTTATTTTAGCCATTTGCTTTTACTGCAGTCAACAATAGTAAAGAATAGGATGTGTCCTATACAATTCTGTTAATGGACTGAAGCATGTACTGCAAATTTTTTACATTTAAAGTGTTTCCCTTTTATGATTTGTGAACTTACTTTACAACAAAAAACAAGTATAGACTATAAAAGCAAATCTACAGTTTAGCTAGCTACTTGAGTCCCCAGCGCTGGTTTAAAGCAGTGATGGGGTAGCGTTTGTTTTTTTTTTTTTTTTTTTTTTTTTTTGTCCCTGCGGTTTTAAGGCTTCATTCACAGCCTATTCTTTTGAATGGCACCCTTTCAAATTGGTGTGGCTTAAAGCTGCAGCAACTTTGAAAAGGTGCCTGCACTACTTTTATGCAAATTTGGTCCAGAGAGTGTAAAGTCGGATCAAAGTCGCTCTGGAAATAGTAAGCAGGGGTAAGCACTGGAACCGCTTACTGACTGTCTCAGCTGGCATCCAGCGTTATGCCCAGGAACTGAAACAATAAACTCCTGGGCTTGTGATGCTTTTGCAGAGTGCTCCACAGGAGCTCTTTGTGAAAGCAAAAGTAAATACCTCACTTCTGTGTTGTGTTTACCTTGGGAGTGTGAGGATGTCACCAGAGAGGTCACCGTGCACACATTCACTATGGATGGTCAGGCATAGCTGTTAGCTCACAAGTACCGATCAGTTATAGCCATATGTTGTAGGTTGATTGCAGTCAGAAATAGATGACTGATATCGGTGATCCACTGCTGCAAAGCTGCATTGGGGGATCTGAACCAGAGCAAGGCCCTCTGATTCCTCTAGTAATTAAATGTATTGTAACTGTACAGTTTGCCTTCATTTTGTAAAGTGCTTCTGAAAACTGTTGATGCTATTTAAATCTCTATCTCAGTGCCCTTCTGAACGAAGCCTAAGATGCAACAATGTTGTTGGGTAATCTGGATGACATTTGCAATCTCAAACCTGTGAAAAATGTTTCGGGTATGCTAATTTGCATCCTCATCAACCCAGCTTAACCTCTTGACGTCACACAAATATGCGGCCTCACTGAACTGGGCTTTTTTCTGTGGGGCTGCATATTTGCGTACCGGTCTTCCTGCTGGGAGCGTGCTGCACAGCACATGCCCAGCACAAAGACTGGGGTTCTAACGATCGTGACCGATTCCCGATTCCAGATCACATGATCGCTGTGCTGGCCTCTGATTTGCTATCACAGTGATCAGTCACTGTTTAGCCCACCCCCTTGTTTTTTTTTTTTTTTCTCTATGAATGGAGGACAGAGATATGCTGTATCTCTCTAACTCCTGGCATAGAGAAAAAAAATGTTTGTTAAAAAAAAGATAAATATTAAAAAATAAAGAAGAAATTCCTAGATCAAGGTTTGATCTAGTTCAGTGCCAGGGTAAGTGTTTGGGTTCAGGTCAAAAGGGCAGGATTTTTTTTTTTTTTTTTTTTGGTGTCAGTGTGTTTTAGGTAAAAAGAAATCAAAATGTGCACTATTGTTTCTGGGCTGTACCACAGGTACAAGCAACAAATAACATACACATATATGGCATCGCTGCGATCGTCCAGAGCTGGAAAATTTATTTTGAGTTGTTCTTTGGTGGTAGGTTATGGTAGTAACAAGAAACACACAGCTAAATTAAAATTACTGTTTTGGGCCAGTTTTCCTTTGATATTAAAAAAAAATAATCAGGAGATATCCATTATCCATTTACCACCAAATGAAAGCCCAATTTGTCCTGGAATAAACAAGGTATTATTCACCTGGATGTACAAAGTAGTTGTGATATGTACGGTTGTACTAACACATGTCAACATTGCAAAATTGTGCTTAGGCATTAAGATTTGTTTTACCCTTAGGCTTGAAGGGGTTAATGTTATCTCAATTTTACACTAATCATATATGCATTACCAATTCTTTTTTTCTTTGTTGTTTCCCACACACATTGCAATGTAGCATCAAAAGGAATCAAAGCTCTTCTAAAGTAAAATGCACACGTTTTCTTTGAGCTTTACTATTCCTCTACATTACTTGTGTTGCACTAATGTGATATAATTTTAATTAGCAGACTTTAATTATATTTTTCTAATTTTGTACTGTTTATCCTCAATAAATACTAGGGAAATAAAAATGTATGTATCCAGATTTGCTACCACATAGTAGCACTATTTGTCCTGGAAAAAAAGAGCAAACACATATAATTATAGGTAGACTACAAAACCAAAAAGGTATAATTTGCAATACTGATACATTGTTACAACGGGGGTTTGCAACTTTTAAGCCACAATAAATTGGGGCAGCACAGTGGCTAAATGGTTAACAAATTCACCTGGCAGTACTAGGGTCATTGGTTCAAATCCCAACCATGGCACACCTGCCTGGAGTTTGCATGGTCTCCCTGTTTCTATGCGAGTTTCCTCCTGGTACTCCGGTTTCCTCCCACACTCCAAAGACATGCTGGTAGGTTAATTGGCTCCTGTCTAAATTGGCCCTAGTATGCGTATGTATGAATGTGAGTTAGGGACTTTAGATTGTACACCCCTTGAGGGTTAGGGACTGATGTGAATGTACAATATATATATGTAAAGCGCTGCGTAAATTGACGGCGCTATACAAGTACCTGAAATAAATAAATGCAATACTTTGCCAAGAAATGACATGGTGGTTTTCAGTCATTAACAGCCAGAGTGCCCTCCCATCTGGTGGTTTTCAGTCATTAGCAGCCAGAATGCCCTCCCATCCGGGTTTTGCCATATCCTACTAAGTGACTGAAGCATACCTATATTGGTATCATTGTATATGGAAGAGATGGCTGGACATGTTGGATGAAATTTTTTCCCATGCCATCTCTGTGTTAAACCTGTCACTGAATTTACACTTTTGTTGGAAATTTTTGCAGTTAAAATTTTCTATCGTTTTACTGGGGTTCAATGTTCAAGTTATATTTCTTATGACAAAACTTGAGAGTTGTACATTTTTAAATAGTCATGTTAGGGTAGTTTTGGTGTCCTACTACTCCTGAGCCACTGTGAATAGAGTCTGGTATAAAAAAAAAAAAAAAAAAAAAAAAGGACCTGCCAGTCTTTAGCCATTGTCAGCCAGAATGTTCTCTAATTTCCTGGCCCTACCATGTTCTCACCATATGACTAAGGCATACTTGGGGAAAAAAAGAAGCAAATCTGGTATTGTTTGATTTCAGACAAATAAAAAAATATTTACAAAGAAGAAAAAAACACTCTGCCTCAAGTTTTTCATTTTTATGTAGTCGTAATCATCATAAAATAACTTTTTTTTCATAGGTTTCACCATTTTTTTTCCCTCTCGTTTAACCTCCCTAGCGGTATTCCCGAGTCTGGCTCGGGGTAAAATGCAGCTGTCAAAAGCGGTAACCCCGAGCCAGACTCGGGCTGACCGCAATAGTATTACCTGGTGCCGATCTATGTCCCTGGTCCTGCGCTGCTAGCAGCCATCCCCTCCGTCCGTCCCCAGTCTCCTTTCCCGCTTCCCTGCTCCTCTGGTTCCCGTCTATTTCACGCTGATCAGTGTGATCAGCGCGAGTCTGACGTGCCGTCGGGGGGCGGGGCTTGTGGGAGGCGGGAATTATAAAATAGCTCACAGTCAAAAATAAAGTGTTACTCTGTGCATACATTGTAACTGAACCTGTGAATATAGCCATAGCGCAGTTTTTGTGACTAAAAACCATTGTGTGCCATTTTGCGCTCATGGCTTCCAAAAAGCGCCTCGCTAACGATAAAGCGGTTTACGATGAGCTAGCGAACAGCGACAGTGAGGAGCTGCTTGAATTGGGTGATAGCGACTCATGTGGCGATTTATCATCTGACACCGAAAGTGAAGATAGCGGCAAATCTGAGATGGATCACGTGAGTGATCTGCGCACATGGTGCACTTTTGATTGCGATACACCAGCGCCGCCAAAATTTACCATTTACCGGCACACCCGGTATGAAAATACACGTTGAAAGTGACAATCCCTTGGCATACTTGGAATTGTTTATGACCGATGAGGTCATTGAAATTATTGTGATGGAGTGGTGGGGAAACCGCTGCAGAAGTGGTACTGAACCACCAACAAAATGCTCGCCACGCCGTTCTTTGGCACCGTCATGTCGAGTACAATTTTTTCCCTCATTATGAAATATTTGCACTTCGCAAATAATGAGGATTTTGATGAAACAAGTCATCCGGCTCCCAAGCTAAAAAAATTTGGGAACTCTACCAAGTAATTGTACGAAATTTCCAGCAGAGCTATGTGCCAGAGAGGGATATCAGCGTAGACCAAAGTCTAATGGCCTACAAAGGAAGGCTCAGCTGGATACAGTACATCGCGTCCAAGAGAGCAAGATTTGGCGTGAAATCCTATCTGCTGTGCGAATCCTGTACCGGCTACATCTGGAACACAGTCCTATACACCGGCAAAGGAACAAAATTCAATCCTAAGTACAGCAGCTACGGACTGGCAACATCATCCGTCCTGTCACTAATCGAGCCTCTGCTAAACCAAGGCTATTGCATAACGACGGACAATTTTTACACCTCGCCAGAACTTTACGAGGTTCTTCTTCAAAACAGAACGGATGCCTACGGAACCGTTCGGGCTAACCGGCGTAACCTGCCATCCATGTTTGGAAAAAACAAACTAAAGTCGGGAGAATTAGTTGCCTGGCAGAAAGGCAAAATGATTGCGCTGAGATGGCAGGACAAGAAGGATGTGTGCCTGATGAGTACCATTCACAATGCCTCCACAGTGATGGTCCAAACAAAAGGTGGCAAAAACATCCAGAAGCCGCAGGTTGTCATGGACTACAACAAAACCATGGGAGGTGTTGACAGAGCTGACCAAGCTATGACGTTTTATCCTGCGATGAGAAAGCAGCAGAGAAAGTATTATAAAAAGATTTTCCGGCATCTTCTGGAGCAGTGTTTGTGGAATGCATACGTTCTGTTCCACAAACACAGTGAAAAGCCTGTGATTCATGCGGACTTTATATGGAAATTGGCGGAATGCATCTTCCTGAAATACCAAACTCCATCAGTGTCTGTGGGTAGATCCGGATGACGTTCTGTGGAAGTTGTCAACCCAGAACGTCTGACTGGACGTCATTTTATGGACCACATCCCACCAACCCAAAAAAAAGGCAGCACCTACCAGGATGTGCGTGGTATGCTTGTCTCAGAGAGATAACAGTGGAAAAAAAATCCGCAAGAAAACAAGGTTCCACTGTCCTGATTGCGATGTCGGACTTTGTGCAGTCCCATGTTTCAAAATTTTACCACACCCGGGATGTTTACTAAAAAAAATGCAGTGTCTGTATAATATTGTTTGGACAGAGTTCCGTGTGTTTTATTTGATTACATTATTTAATTTATTATTATATTATTATTTTTTATTATATTATAATTTGATTTAATTTATTAAAATTTATTGCACCAAACATGTCTACTAGACTCTTGTTTAAAAAGATTTCAGGGAGTTATTCCTAAGAATTACAGGCCTACAATAAAAAAAACAACAAATTTCCATTGAAAAAAATGTACCGCTTTTAGCACAGAAATACTGACATAATCATACCGCTAGGGAGGTTAAATTAAAGTATATAATTTAAAACATGGTATCAAAATAAAGTACTATCTCTCCCCCAAAAAAACATGTCAAGGTGACTTGGTTGACTGCACAACAAAGCAGCAATTGTAAGACGGTCACCTGTCCAAAAACCTGAAAAAAAGCCTTGGAACTTAAGGATGTTTTCATAGGTTAAAGATGCTTGGACTCAAGTGGTTAAAGTGAGTGTGTGTGTCTACACATGTGAATGGAATCTGCTTGATTTAAATGTTTCTAACACCCAAGAGCAGCCATAATTGCTGATTTACTTATAAAAGCAAAAAGTTGAACACTCCATAACAGAGCTAGTTGGACTAGGGAAATGAACAACCAGCAGGATCCTGTTCCAGGACTGAACTTTTGCAGAGCACATTCATACTTCCCTCCAGTTAGGACTCTTGTGCTGATGCCCTAGAACAGGTCATAACTTAAATCTCCAGAATGGCTCTCATTTTTGTCCATTTGCGCAGAATCATATGGCTAAAAGGCTGAAGCCGCTTTTACATGTCGCCTGATATGTATGCCCTTTGATAAATTTGTCATTTGCCTCACTAAACAGACATCCACCTTTAAAGATGTCACAGGGAGAAATGTCCTACTACCCAAAACAAAAAGATTCTAAACCCTCTTCCTCATGGACTTTAATCTCATAAAATGTGCCCCAGAAAAGTGCCCCATCTGTCTCCTAGGATTTCATTCTCACAGCCAAAACTTAGTCCTGTTTGTATAACATTTGGAACACAAAACCTACCAATTTTGCTCCAAAACCCTCTTCACAATTAAGGGGTGCCCTCACCTCAACTGTTTTATGTACAAAAATCCTTTGTTAAATAATGATAAAGAAAATTTGGGTATTTGTACTTGAACCTCAAAATCCATTTATTGGGGTTAATTAAAGGCTAATTTCACCTTTGGAGCATGTTACACATTGCACTATATTTAGGGTGTAACATGCTCCAGAACCACTACCTCCCTCTGCATTTCTGTGCAATTCTGGTGCAAATTGGCCCTCGGTTACATTCAGAATCTGTGCAAATGTGCGAGGCTCCGCCAGCACAGCCGCATCATTCATCCACAGCAATCTGTGAATAAAGAAACTACGCAGCAGATGGCTTGTAGTTCTCAATGAACTATGAGGGTGCTAATGAGTGCCTTTTTGTAGTTCATTGATACTTCCTCCAGCTTTTAACAGCCTGTACAGAGGTATGGGCAAGAAATCTGGGGCAAGTGTCTGCTGGAGCCCAACTTGTACCTCGCGATACACTGATCCTGGATGCAATGCATTGAAGGCTCCTGGGGAGAAAAAAAAAAAATAAATGCTCTTTTTTTGGGGGGAAAATATGTGCATTTTATTATTTTTTTTTTCTCCAAAGGTGAACCCCTCTGTTTTATTGTGATCCATGCTGCTTTTATATAACACTGTGGCATGCTTAAAATCAGAGAGGTTATACCTGGCTGGCAAACAGCTTTTATGTTTTCTAGTGTCTAGATCTTTCTGAAGGTGGCAATTTAATCAATTGTATCAAAATAACTACTGATCATGTATCCTTCAATCAACTCCAAGAAACATACTTTATCAAAAGTAAAAATATCTTATTTTAATTTTTTCAGGTTGAAAATTTGTATTATTCTTCAGTTGTTTTTGTAGCTATTCTGTATTTGCTTATAAAAATACTTTAATAATATTATTAAATTAGCAAGTGTTGCAGAAATATGTCCCTGAGGGTGTCACTGAAATGTTTTTGTATAAATAGAGGTTGGAAATTATGGGATTAAGTAGGTTTTTACTTGTTATTCCTAATGCCAACACAGTTTGTGACTTGTTTAACTGCTAGGACAGCTAGGTAGCACATCCAGTTTTTCTGCATTATAATGATACTGAAATTCCTGTATTATATGGTATCAATACAACTCCTGTTATACAGGTGGAATCAACTGATGTATCATAGTACTGTTGCATAATTACATAGTTAAACCAGCCTGAAAAAAAGACACGTCTGTCAAGTTCAACCAATAGAAAATAAAAACAAACTAATAGCAAACCTCAATGTACACAATTCTGTATACACAGTTCATCCAGAAGGCAAAAAAACTCAATAAAGCATGTTCCAGTTCACTTAAGCGGAGGAATACAAATCCCTCCTGATCCTCCAGGAGGCAATCAGGTGTTCCCTGGATCAACTACTCCTGGTTATCACCTATAAATGTTAGTATCCAGTAGCTCTTACTGTGAAGAAGCCTTTCCATTTTTGGAGGTTAAATCTCTTTTCCTCCAGATCTAATGAGTGCCCCTTGTCCTCTGTGTTGACCTGAGACTGAATAACACCATTCATTTATTATGGTTTTTGTTTTATAAAGTGTCTTTTGATCTTTGCTCTGTGATCTCCAGTCTTTTACTTATTTGTACTTGTGCACATACATTATATGTCAAATTATGCCTAAACTCGAACAATAGTTTGCCTTTGTAATGAAGGATGTGTCCCATTAATATGCTTTTCTTTATGTTTTTCAAGTTGCTTCAGCAAGAGTTAATAGTGATTTATTAAATGTCAAGCAAAAGAAAAAAAAAAACCTGACATTGAGTGAAAACGTGTGTGTGCTTTCCATACAAAAATATAACTCGTGATGTATGTATCTTGACATACTTGGTTGCATGCATAGTTTATTAGGTTGGAAAAAAAGACACAGGTCCCTACAGCTCAACCTGCGTGTGTGTATGTGTGTGTTTTTATTCTCCAATAACTTCTATAGCCGTGGATATTCTGCTTGCTGAGGTTGAAATCTAAATGTTTTTTTTTTTAAGTTGTCAACACTCTCAGCTAATACCACTTCCTGGGGGAGGGAGTTCCACATTTTAATGCTCTAACAGTAAAGAACCCTTTTCTCAATCTAAGGTTAAACCTTCCTTCTTCTAACAACCTAAATCATAGTCACGTATTCTTTTTTGTGGCCTTACAGTGAACCATTTATTACAAAAATAATAAATGCACATGTTTTTGTAGAAACAAAAAGGTGCATTTATTTTTTGTGTTCTACAGGAGTTTACAATGCATTGCACCTGAGGTCAGTGGATCATGGGTGCAATGCCAGGCTCCTGCAAACTCTTTTCCAGGTACCTGCCTGTACTTCTGTATGGGTTGTCAGCTAAAGGAGGTGGAAGAAGTGTCAGTGGGCTACAAGTGCACTGATTACTGCACTTGTATTCTATTAAGCACTAGTGGATGTCAACTGTGGCTGGGTTGCATCCAGCTTTTGCTTGCTGTGAATTGCTACAGCACAATTTTGGCAGTAGGTCCTGACCAATGATTTTTGGCCTGTACCTGCTGATCTGCTGTAGCAAATCACAGCACAGTCTGTGCCCATGTCAGTAAACACAGACTCTGGTTCTGGATAGTTCTCTCTGAGCTCTTTTGTTTCCAGAGATACTTGAGAGTTTTGGTTCCAGAAGGAGATTCCAATAGTAGAGTGTCCCCAGAAATGCAGCGTTAGCAGGATCAGCCCCATTTGCTGCCAGCACTCGTGTTTAGCCCGTCACCCCCCCCAGCATGCACAGTGTCCGTATCATTTCTGATCACTGTGACCTCTGATACATTGTACACAAAACTGCAGTGTTGGCAAGAGCAGGCCTGACCTCTGCTTGCGCTAGCAGGTTAATTTTATTTACAGTGGTTCAAGCAGTTCCTGACAGTTAGGAGCTCTTTTTACCATAGTTGCACTATAATGGATATAAAAAGTCTACACACCCGTGTTAAAATGTCAGGTTTCTGTGATGTAAAAAAATGAGACAAAGATAAATCATTTCAAAACTTTTTCTACATTTTAATGTGACCTATAAACTGTATAGCTCAATTGAAAAACAAACTGAAATCTTTTAGGGGAGGGAAGTAAACCTAAAAAACTAAAATAATGTGGTTGCATAAGTGTGCACACCCTCTGATAACTGGGGATGTAGCTGTGTTAAGAATTAAGCAATCACATTTCAAAATCATGTTAAATAGGAGTCAGTACACACGTGCCATCTTTTAAAGTGCATCTGATTAACCCCAAATAAAGTTCAGCTGTTCTAGTATGTCTTTCCTGAAATTTTCTTAGTCGCATCCTACAGGATGTCTTCAACTTACAAGCTGACCTCAATGTACTGTTTAATTGGGCAACTATGTGGCAAATGAGGTTTAATGTTGTTAAATGTAAAGTTATGCACTTGGGGGCTAAGAATATGCATGCATCATATATACTAGGGGGGAGTACAACTGGGGGAATCAATGGTGGAGAAGGATCTGGGAGTTGTGGTAGATCACAAGCTTAGTAATGACATGCAATGCCAAGCTGCGGTTTCGAAAGCAAGCAAAATCCTCTCTTGTATTAGAAGAGGTATAGACTCCAGAGAGAGAGAGATCATTTTACCCCTGTACAAATCTTTAGTAAGACCTTCTCATCTGGAATATGCAGTTCAGTTTTGGGCACCAATTCACAAAAAGAACATTGGGGAACTGGAGAAAGTACAGAGAATGGCAACCAAACTGATAAGAGGCATGGAGGAGCTCAACTATGAGGAAAGATTAGAGGAACTGAATTTATTCTCTCTTGAGAAGAGGAGATTAAGGAGGGATATTATCAACATCTATGAATACATCAGTGGTTCATATAGTGAACTTGGTGTAGAGTTATTCACCCTGAGGTCATCACAGAGTAC